CTGAGGGCTTGTCTGCACTATCAAGGTTTGGCCCCCCCCCCCCTGTCGCCCCCGCCCCCCCCCCCCGTCCCAATATTTTGGACTGCTGATCTGGTCACCCTACCTGTCGATGATGGTGTCCCCAATGTGGACATGATCTGTCGACAGAGGAAGCATGTGTGAACACCCTTTGGTGATTTTTGTTTTGTTGACTTTTGGGTGTCGACATAAGTTTTGTCAACAAAACTTGGTAGTGTAGACAAGCCCTAAGAGTAGCATACTGGACCATATATCTTACCTGGAAAATTCCTGCAGCCTCCAGCTGTGCTCCCCCGTCTCCAGGTGCCATCATAGAGTGTTGTGTTCCACTTGCGGAAGGTGCGTGCTTTCAGTGCATCTGGAGTAAGGTTACAGATCTCCAGCCGTGTGAACTCTCTCAAAAAATCTTGGAAGGACATCCTAAGAAGAAAGAAATCCAGTGACCTCACACAGGTATCCGTCAGAGAAACTACTGCAAAGGTCTCTCTCAAGTTGAGCAGGGTGTGAAGTGGTTTTCCTATCCCATGTACATTTTTGAGTGCACAAAATTTTTTACATCCCAAATCAGGACAAAATTCCATCATATTTTCACAAACTGAACCCCTCCCCCCCAAAAAAAAATTCAGCTCAGGTCAATCAAAATATTTCTTTTTGATAATTCCAAAACATTTTTATTTAGATTTTTTAACATTCTAATTAGCTTAGATTTATAAATAAAATCATCTCAGACCAGAAAAGTAGATTTTTCTTTTGAAAATGTTGAAATGTTTCATTTTCACAATTTCAAAACTTTTTCCTCAACAGTCAGGAAATTTGTATACATTGCCCTGTTTCACAAACAGCTTCGGTTTCAACAAATCTATATTTTTTTGGTGAACAAACATTTCACTGAAAAATTCCTAATCAGCTCTATCCTCAAGACCCAGGATGCATTTGATGATCATGTTTTATGTAGATATCAAAGCTTTCCACAGCCTCACAAAGAATAGAGATCTTTCTGTTCTACCCTGATCCTTCACCAATTCATGCCTTTTATTCCTTGCTTGTATGATAATAATTCCTGGCTATAGTGAATCCAAGATTTTATATTTTGGATTTACTTCTTATTCAAAACCCCACAGCAAAGGAGTCTAAGCCTTTTCAAAATCTTTTTATAATGATTGGTGAAAACCAACAGCACTACCCACTGTTTCCTTGTACCTCCCCGGCCCCACTTTGATCTGTTATAGCCATCTGTTGTCTCTTGTCCTATACTTAGATTCTAAGCTCTCACAAGCAGGGACCATCTTTTTGTTCTGTTTGTACAATGGAGTCCTGGTCCATGAGTAGGGCTCCTAGGCTTTATGGGAACACAAGTAAAAAATAATAGTACTCTATAACATCTAAACAATTTATAAAATAAATTTAGAGGGCCAGATCCTCAGATGGTATAAATTAGTCTAACTTCATTGTCTTCAGTTGAATTTCCCTGATTTATGCCAGTGATAATCAACCACATTTTGTTAACAGTGGATTTTTTTTTTTTTTTTTTTTTTTTTTTGGTAGGGGAGCAGGTGGGTGAGAATATTATTTTCAGCTGCAAAGACCAATCTGTTTTGGTGTTTTTCCCAGGTCACTGACTGCATGGTCAGCTGAGTGCCACTCTCCAAAAAAGCACAAAACTGATTCCAGGCAGCACTGAGATCCATTTGCAGCAAAAACATTTTCAAACATTGCTTCCTGTAGCATGGGTTTTCACTGGTAAAAACACCACTTAAGACAAATTAAAAAAACCCAGCATCTTAGCTTATTTGTGCGTATTTAAAACCCCTTTTAACTTGGTCACAAGAGTGTAAAATAAGGGTTAGTGCAAACTGTACTTTCCACTTACCAGAATTCCCCATCTTCCATTTTAATCCTTAGCTGCTGTCCCACAGATGGGTCCACCACGTTCCACTCAGAAGAGCTGCAGGGGTGAAGCAGGTCAAACATGCCGTGAGTCCTAAAGCTTGAACAACTCACAGTAAATTAAATTCTGGAAGAAGGAGGTGCAACTCCACTGACCTGTTGGAGCTATGCCAGTTACGACAGGGCTGAATTTGGCCCATTGTGGGCAACATTATCATCCCACACTGCTCATTAGTAAGAAAAATATTATCATTACTGGCTGTAGACACATGTGGTCTGTATTCCAAGCTGTTCCTGTGCTGTTGCTCAGCAGTTTATTTCCAGTTCCACAAATTGGGTGTAGGATCCAACCAAAATAATTCTGTTTTATACAGGTGTGACCCTAAGAGCATCCCAGTTCCAGGTGGCACATTGTTGTTAGGATATTTACCCACAGGGTGGCATGTAATGTATCACTGGAAAACTCAGAACTCATTGATCATTAATATTATTGTGTGGTGCATGTAATAGGTTAGTCTATCATCCTCATCACCATAATATCTGAGGGCCTTCTGTAGTGCATTAAGCAATGTGACTAACATCTGTCACACATGGTTCATTCTGTCTCTCATCTTCTCCATAGAGGGAGAATTGTGTGCGCAGTGGAATGATTTGTCTTGAGATTTTTATTTATTTGGTAAATGTACATGCTGGTGACTGAACAAATTTGCAATAGATAGAGCCTTTTACCTCTAGGTCACTAGTTCTGATACAGATTGGTAATGACTAGAAGCAGTTCCTTTCTCACAGCTATTTGCCATTTATCCAAGGTCCTTATCACCTTGATATCTAAGCAAGGAGAGCCTATACGAAGTGAATTGATACATCTGCAGTCCAATTCCTAGTGGGCAGATATCTACATCTCGTTAATTATCCTAGTTGGCACTATTTGGTCCCCTTTTTGCCAGTTGCAGCAGTGTACAAGGCTGGAACTAGCCTCAACTTCAGATCTTCCTTTTAAGTCAGAGTGGAGACATGCTAGCAAGGGTTGTGTGTGGGAAGCTTGATTGCTACCTAACCTATGTGCTGTGGAAGTTCAGTGTCTAGACCTGTCAAGCTGACACCTTCCACCAAGAGTAAATTTTATTTATTATTTTCCCCCTCCAATCTTCAGCAGAGGTGCTGGAACAATTTGTATAGTGGGGTGCTGAGAGCCATTGAAACAAACTGTAAACCCTGGATATGATAGAAACCACTTCAAACCAGGGGCTATGGCTGCACCCACAGCACCCCTACTTCCAGCACTTATATGACATTCAGAATCTGTATAAAAAGTTGATCCTTACTTATCACTCCAGGCTCCAGTCCATTCCACCTCTCCCCATGGGTTTCGCATTCGAATTAGATTAACACTCTGTCCTCGGTAGTTAATCTGTAATCACCACAGATATCCAGTTAGAGATACAATAATACTTGCTTTCTGCAGTATTTATGCCTTACAGACAGGTGCACAAAGAATTGTCATGCAAAAGACTACGATGGAGAGGAAAAAAACATAAGTAGCTTTTAATGCGAGAGTGCTATGAGGAAGAAAAACTGTGATTAGCTTTAAATGAAAACAACTTTTTCACTCTGCAGAAACTGTTGTGCAGAATTTGGATACTATTGGGATGAATGCTATAGGGAAAAAAACTAAAATAGATCAGCTAGTGAGAAAAGTATTTCTTATGACCAAGAACTGTGTGCATACATGTCACTGTGCTCCATTAATTAAGGCCCTAGCCACAACGGTATCAGGACCTTACTAGCTACAGTCATATTTAAACATAGTTATAGCTAATAAGGTTCTGATTCTATTGCAGGCAGTGTTTTAAAGGGGCATTTTCAGGTATCCTCAGATATATATATTTCTCTGCAGATGTTTAGAAGCCATACATAGCAGGTAGCATTGTGCTTTAAAACTGATCAGTCTAGTTTCACAGTCTTGGTGAATCACATATAGGCATCAAGAAGTATATGAGATTTTAAAATTCTTTCAACTTTAGTAATCCAAAAGTGTTATTAAGTAACACATAGAAAGTGATTTGTACATTGTGTGAAATCTGTCACAAGTGACAACCCAAGATTACAAATGAACAAACAAACAAACAAGGTTGCCTTATTTTTAACGCTCAAATACAAAATACTAAATCGTGCAGAGACTTTAAAGTGGTAGCTTAAAAAAAGTTAGTTGCTGGTTCAAAGGTATAGGTTTTTATTGCAGATTTAAGATTTTTAACCTGACATTCCCTTAAAACTACCAGGACATCTAATTGCTGCAGAGAGCATGGGTAAAACAAAGCTAGAGAGTGTGTGTTAATGTGCCAATCCTGGCATGTCTCATGGGATTTAAGCAATAGTTGATGGTCACCCTATTACCTCAGACAGAAAAAAAAATGAACTCCACTTATTTTCTGCAAAGTCACAAACTTGTAACAAGATACATGCTAGGTGGTTATGCCACAAAGACCTGCTATAGCAGAGCCACTTGGGATGGGGTGGGCAATGAAATATGGATCTGCCAGTGTACTGCACCCACTCCTCTTCTGTTTGACTTACTATTTATTAATCCTAGCCCTATAACCCCATGATAAACACTGCAGTTATGATTCTTTCCGAAGGTCTTGCAAATCCCTCCAGACAACACACAACATATTTTGTCTTTTTAGACTGCTTTATATCTGAGACTCTCAAACATTCATGATTTAAATCCCAGGACATGGGTGTCTGAGATATTATTGTTCCTACTATGTAGCTGAGCAGGCTCAGGTGAAGTGACTTTTGCAAGGTCACACAGCGGCAGAATTAGGAATAGAACCCGGAGACCTGATTCCCTGTTCTAACTACTGCACAACACTCCCTCTCTTCAAACTCTTCAAGGGAATGAAGATTGTACCTGTTTGGCTCCTGTGACCGAATAGGCATGACCCTTCACCAGCTTTTTAAATGTTACAGCCTCCATGTCCAAAGCACTGGTAATCTACATTTAAAAAAGTACACAAGAATACATGTTAAAGTTGTCATTGGCTTCACCTCTGTCCCTAAAAGAAAAGGCATATTAGCTTCTACACACACACACACACACACACACACACACACACACACACACACACAACCCCAGTTCATGCGAGGACCACAGGTGAACATGTATGAATCAGCCAGCATGCCACAGTTTTATTTTGTTCGGGTTTTTACAATGCAACCATCACTGTGGTACCTAAACAACAGCATTTTTTTTTTTTTTTTTGTGATGCTTTTTTCTTTTCCTTTTTTTTTTTTTTTTTTTTTTTATTTTTTTTTTTTGTCAACACTTTTTAAAAAAAAAAAAAAAAAAAATTGCCCCCCCCCCCACCCCATACTTACTATAAAAGAGTAAAAAAAAGTATTAATTATAAGCCCATATAGTTGGTGTGGATGTGTTTTCAGAGGCTAACTGACCTTGAAGGTTAAGAGTGTGCAGAGAATGAGGGAGCAAGATTTTCTTTGCTTTAGATCGTAATAAAATGTTCAACACTGCACAATCCTACTTGATTGCCTTTCATGACACCCTTGGGGGTCGTGACCCACTGGTTGAGTGGGTCCTCTAGTCTTTTCTAAGTCATTTATAAAATCTTTTAAAATGAATGCAGATACTCTTGAAACTTTATAGTGTTATGAGCTGGGTGACGCGTTGTTATGGGATTGAGCCTGAACTCATCCTTCAATTAACAACTATAAACATAAGCCCCATTTTAGCCCTAGTCTACACTACAGAGTTAGATTGACGTAAGGCAGCTTACATTGACCTAACTCTCAGCATCTACAGCAAAATGCAGCTCCCACCAACAGGGCCGGC